TCTATCGCCTCTTCCAACCTTTCTCTGTAATTCTCTCAGTATATCTCCTTCCTCACCAATCTGTTTTCACTTTTCTCTAATATCTATAACTCATTCTTTCTTTATTTTCTCACTACCATCCCTTCAGTTAACATTATTATTTTGTCTTTCCAGTTGACTTGTTTTGTTTTTTTTACAACTCTTTTTATTCTGCTCTCTCTCATTCTATTATTTCTCCCATTTCGTATTTCCTTAAATGGCAGAGGGTGCGATATGTTGTCATATTTCAGGAACTTCCATCCTAAGGCAACATACAGCACTAATGATGTGCAATATAGATTGCTGGGATGTTTAATGCACAGCATTTAGGATAGTTCTCTTGATACTTAAACATTCACCAGCTCAGTAATACTGTTGCATTCTAAGACCAATTTTGGGGATTTTCCTCAATTGTGCTATTTTCTGGGAGTAGTTCCACATGAGAGGACTGCATAGAAGGGACATTATACAGAGTGGTTCAGGTTCAATGAGCCTTGTGGATAAGGCAGGGGTTCTTAACGTTAGTCCTCAGGACCCCCTACCAGTCCAGGGTTTAGGGATTACCTGGGTGTGTCTAAGGTGTTTAGAAAAAATACACCTTAGAGTCTAAGGTGTTTTTTTCCCTTTTTCTAAACACCTGAGACACACCCAGGTAATCCCCAAATCCTGGACTGGTAGGGTGTCCTGAAGACTGGGTTGAGAACCCCTGGGATAAGGCTTGTTGATAATGAACTGTGAGTTCCCAGTGTCATCATTTAAAACAAATACACTGGAGTAAAAATATTAGTGCCTCCTGTAGTAGATACCTCACATAGTTCTTTGGGAGGAGACACGTGCTTCTTCCTTGCAGGCTCTGTCTGTAAAGTAGAAGCAGTTACGTCTGTCCCCAGTATGCAGAGCGTGTTAAAGGCAGGGTCGTCTATAATATGAATAGGACGTTGAGCAAAGCATTTTCACCCCTGGGACCTGCCCCTTCCCTCCCCCCAATTACACCAAACCTGCAATCACATTGACAGACATAATGACAAACACACAGAAAGACATACTGACAAACACACAGACAGACATACTCACACACAGACAGACATACTGATACACAGGCATACTGACATACATAGTATGCCTGTGTGTGGGTCAGTATGTCTGTCTGTGTGAATGTCTGTGTGTTTGTCAGTATGTCTGACATACACACACACACAGACATACTGACATACACACACAGACATACACACACACATACTGACATACACACATACACGCATAGACATACTGTCATACACACACACACACTCACATACTGACATACACACACATACTGACACACACAGACATACTGACATACACACACAGACATACACACACACACACACACACACAGAGACATACTGACTTACACACACACACACACACACAAACACACACAGACATACTGACATACACACACAAATACTGACATATACACACACACACACACACACACACATACATACTGACTTACACACACAAACACACACATACTGACATACATTTAGCCACCCTCCAGGTTCTTACCTTTTTCTGGAGGGTGGTTTCCCTGGGTTCCAGTGGAACTCCCCTCTTTCCTGCCTTCCTTCTCCCACGTGGCTCTGATCTCCGGTGGGAGGAAGTGACTCACGGCACTCACTTTCTCCCAGCCGGCTGCAGAACAGGAAGGGGCCCGGTCACGCTGTTTAAGCGTCACAGCGCCTGACCAGGCCGCTACTTAGACATGCTCACCAGGTGGCCTTAGTGCATGGGCCACTCGGGGCCTCCTTAGTGTGCATGGGGGCTATGCAAATCGTGGGGCCCACGGGACAGCTGCTCTGAGGCCCCCCAGGAGCAACTGGGCCCGGGGCAGCTGCCCCGTTTTCCCCGCGTTAAAGATGGCCCTGGTTAAAGGCAGATGTATTTTATGCACATAACTGATATTAGGCAGCCAGGAACAGAATTCTGGGCTGCCAATGTCATGTGTGCCGCGGGTGCAACTAGCCCCCAGCACATAGTACAGATAACTCTGGATGTGCGATGTTTCAAGCAAAAACACTGCACATCCAAAAGCCCACCAGACTCAAAACTTAGAAGTGATCATGTTGGTTGGAGTAACCCTTTAAGGGAATGATGTTTTTAAAAAAAAAAAGAAGAGAAGAACAGAAAGAAGAGCATGGTGCAATAGAGAGATAATGGCAAAGAAGAGCATGGCATGTCAGAGATGGAAAAGACGCTGCGGATTTTGAGAAAACTAAAGGGAGATTGTTTGTGGAAAATAACAGAAATCCTACATCTTGAGGGAGTAAAAGGCATAGAATGGCTTATGATGGACCGAGTGAGGTTTAAGACTTAAAGGGACACTATATTGACCAAAATAAAATGTGCCTTAACAAATCAGTTTTGGTGTATAGTTCATGCCCCTGTAGCCTCACTGCTCAGTTCTCTGCCATTTAGTAGTTAAATCACTTTGCTTATTCAGCCCTAGGCACATCTCCCTGCATGTGACACAGCATTTCTAAACACTTCCTGTAAAGAGTCATCTAATGTTTACACATTCTTTATTGCAAAGTCTGTTTAATTTAGAATTTATTATATCCTGTTTTGTTAATAATTTGCTACACCCTGCAGGAGCCTCTTGTAAGTAAAGTAAAGTTAAATTTACAGAGGAGGAGATACACATTTTTAAAGCAATTTACATCTGATTGAAAATTAAACCATTTTGCCATTTTGTTTACATGCAGGCTCTGTCAGTCACAGCCAGGGGAGGTTTGGCTAGGGCTGCATAAACATAACACAAAAGTGATTTTATTCCTAAATAACATCTAACTGAGCAGTTATACTTCAGAAGCATGATCTATACATCAAACCTGCTTCATTAAGCTAAAGGTTTTTTTTGTGACGAGTGTCCCTTTAAAAAAACAACTGGGTAGACCATTACTCTTATTTAAAAGGTATCACTACACAGGTACAAATATTTTTTGCCCATAAATGTACAGTACACTTGTGGTGTGCTCATAGTTTAAAACTGGATCCTACAATCCTAAATGTTTAAGACTCTTGTATGCGGCAAAAGTTAGATGTAGTAGTTATCTTTGTATTGTTTCTGTGGGATTATATTGATTGTGAACACAGTCCAATCATGCATTAGCTTCTTGTCACTGGAAATGTATACCCAGTAATGTATCAATAACATATTATGTATGATTACAATTAAAAGGTAGACATTAAAGTGGGTCACTCAATGTGTCCAACTGCAATTGTGTATTAGAGATATGTGTAATATCAGCTAGGTACGGTTAAGAGAGCAGCAATTAAAGTTTCCTAGCAGGACCATAATTTTGATTCTGTACAAAATAAAAACTGCCATCAATCAAGATGGCATGCAAGCTGTCTTTGTTACAGTGCATAAGTTAGCACCCCCTGCTCATGAGTTCCAAATGTGCCTCAAGATTTAACAGTTTGATGTTTTCTAGTATTTCCATGTCAGCCACTTTCAATAAACTATGCCCCCTATAAAAAAATAGTGATCAAGAGTATGTCAGATAGCACACAGTTACAGGAACAAACTTATATTTTCTGTGCTATTCGCCAGGTGTCTGGGATTGATACTATATATAAATATTTTATATATATATTTTTTGTATCTTTACCTCTATGGCTCGTTTTGTATACTAATTTCACCAGCCCTATGCCATATATTTGGCTTGTTTACATCATTGTTTTATTGATGTATATGCATACCTCTAATGACTTTTCTCTATGATATCTGAACTCCTCCACCCAGTTTTTTTATACTCTTCTTCTCACGAACATTTGCCACAAACTCCTGGAGGAGTGTGGAATCTGGCCTCCAGCCCACCGACTATGGTCCAGGTCTGAGACACCATTCGGGAGTTACCCTGCCCAGCCACCATTAGCATCTTTCCCTGGGTGCCCCTGGTTCGGCACTTTCCCTCCACTGGAATGGAACCAAACGCTAGCTTCCTGGCAGCCATTTGCATGAACCAAATCCATGAATGGTCCTTATAGCTATGGAACTAATTTCAGCATGAGGACTTTGTGGGTTCCCGAACAACTTGGTCTGGGGTTTTGAACCACTTTGCAACCTGCCAGGAGATTGCTTTTTGGAGGTAAGGTGGAACAAACGCTACCTGAGAGTCAGGTGGAGCACCCCATATTTCGGACGCAGGAGCTCCTGAGAGTTGACTGGCAAAAGCACCAAACACCCTGAAACTATTTTGGGCATAGGATCATGTGTGCGGCCCGTCAGAACTTTAACATGGCAGCGTTTCCACTACACAGCATGGATCTGAGCACTATTTGGACAACTTGGGCGATCAGATAAAGGTTATTTGGGGATGTATAATATGTGGTGTAATTTTATGTTTTTATTATGTTTTGGGGTACTTTTATGTTTTTATGTTTTGTTGGGCTCTCCTGGGAGATAATTGGCTTACCGGTCTTTAACTCAATTATCTCCCAGGCCCAGAGATTCCTAATCACTGCTCAGCACCTTGTTCCAGCTTGTGGAGGATTCAGCGGTGAGAGTCCTTGTAAGAACTAGAGCTCCCAGGAATGTGTGTAGTCTCAACCCTGTGAGGGAATAGAGCTAGTCCCCTATACTGTTCCAGGACAGAGAGGCTCCAGGAGGACCCCAGTCAAGCCACAGCGACTGGGTCAGAAGGGCTGAGGTTTTCCCTGGTTTCAGCTAGGAAACGCTCCTTGGCAGAGGTACCAAGCCGGGTTACATGGAGCTCTGCTACAATACCTACCAGGGACATTTTAGCCGCGAGGCAAACAAGGTATTTTCCTTGGGCGGCATTTTCCAGGGGGTGGCAAAAAAAGCTGCCCCCAAATGCCCAGGACAAATGTCTTGTTAGCCTTGCGGCTAACAGTCCGGTCGGTCAGGCTGATGGGCTGGCTGCTGGACGGGCGGCGCGGGCAGGCGGCTGGCGAGGGAGCACATCCTCTGAGCTGTCTGCTCAGCTCCCTCGCACGCCACCCGCAGAGTGAGGCTGGGAGCCAGAATATGACAAGAGCCAGAATATGACAAGAGCCAGAATATGACAACATATTCTGGCTCCCAGCCTCACTCTGCGGACGGCGTGCGAGGGAGCTGAGCAGACAGCTCAGAGGAAGTGCTCCCTCGCCCGCCAGCGCCGCCCGCCCAGCAGCCAGCCCAGCAGCCAGCCCATCAGCCACTGGACCCCCAGGGAGAAAGAGAACCACCCCCCAGCATTCCCAAAGGTAAGGAGGCTGGGGGGGTTAAATAAAAAAAATGTGTTAATGTGAGTGAGTGTGTGTATGTCTGTTAGTGTGAATGTGTTTGCCTGTGAGTGTGTGCGTGTCTGTTAGTGAGTGTGTGTGTGTGTGTCTGCTAGTGAGTGTGTGCTTGTCTGTTAGTGAGTGTGTGTGTTTCTGTTAGCGAGTGTGTGTTTATGTTAGCTAGTGTATGTGTGTGTCTGTGTATTTAGAAGGTGGGGCGGGGGAAGGGTTGGGTGGGGGTGGTGCGGGGGGATTTGAGGGGGACGTCTGTGTTTTGTCCTACCTAGGGCAGCACAAAACCAGGATATCCCACTGATACCTACCCAAATGTTTGTTTTGCTTAACTAACCCTTACTTCATATGTGCATAGATGTAACTCCCTAATCCATAGGCCTATCTGACCCTAATATCTCTCTCCCACAGCCTTAAATGTTTCCTGCCATAGACCTGAACAGCAACTCATACAGTGAGAAACACTCTCGATCTCATCTCCATTAATCTCTGTTCCTCCTCTAATCTCTCCAGTGTTCCACATACTCTATCTGACCACCAACTTCTGACCTTTGACATCATTGCACCCTCTGAAATAGATCTCATAGAAACATCAACTGTCTTGAGCAATTCTCCACCAACCTCTAAACTCTCCTTTTACCTATCTCAAACCTCAGCTGCCCTAGATCTGCAACCTCCCTTTGCAACTCCACTCTCTCCTCTGAACTAGATATCATGTCACCTCCTATATTTAACAATTGTAGGTGACCCTTGGCAAACTAAGCTGACTTGTTACCTCCAAAAAGGCTACATAACTGCTGAAGAATGCTTGAGAAAGTCTGGTTTCTCAAGCCCCAATACTTGTTCCCTCGATTTTATTCTCTCACATCTAACTCACACTGTCTCCTTCCCTTCCTATGCACATCACTAAAATATTAAATCTCTCCATTTCCTCTAGTACATTATCTTCAGCCTCATTCTAACTTGCACCGTAACTCCACATCTAACTCCTACTACAGTTTACCTCCAAGAACTTTAAAAGAGGTGTGTATGCACGATTAACTACTTTCTTGAATCCAACTCTCTACTCGACCTGCTTCATTCATTCTGGATTTCATACTCGTCAATCTGAAGAAACTGCGCTGATCAAAGTATCTAAAGATTTAATTGCTTCTAAACAGAGAGGTCGCTAGTCTCCAGATTCTCCTTGACCATTTTGCTGCTTTTGACACTGTTGATCATCAACAACTTGTAATCCTCCATAATAGCAGTCTACGAGACTCTGATCTTTCCTTATTCTCATCCTACCTCTTACAGTGCTCTTAGAGTGTTTATTTTTCTGGCTCCTCCTCTTCTGTGCAACCCCTCTCCAAGATTCTGTTCTTAGTCCCCTACTGTTCTCGATCTATGTTGCCTCCATTGGTAAACTCATTAGCTCTTTTGGCTTCCAATATCACTTCTATCTGGATGACACGCTAATATATAAGTCCTCTCCTGATCTTTTGCCATCCCTCTTAACTCATGTCTCTGACTGCCTCTCTGCTATTTCTAAATGGATGGCTGCTCATTTTCTTAAATGATCACTATAGGGTCAGGAACACAAACATGTATTCCTGACCCTATAGTGTTAAAACCACCATTTGGCCCCCCCTGGGTCCCCCATGCCTCCATAAATATAACAAGCCAGAAGCTGTAATCTTCATGCTGTTTGCCTAAAAAAAAACAACCAGTCTGCTGACATCATCAGAAGTGGTGGCCTGATCCGATCACAGTGCTTCCCCATAGGATTGGCTGAGACTGACAAAGAGGCAGATCAGGGGCAGAGCCGGCATGATTCAAACAAAGCCCTGGTCAATCAGCATCTCCTCATAGAGATGAATTGAATCAATGAATCTCTATGAGGAAAGTTAAGTGTCTGCATGCAGAGGGAAGAGATACTGAATGTTTGGATGCATTTTAGGCAGCCATGACTCAGGAAGGATCTCTAACAGCTATCTAAGGAGTGGTCAGTGAAGTTATCACTAGGCTGTAATATAAACACTGCATTTTCTCTGAAAAGATAGTGTTTACAGCAAAAAAGCCTGAAGGTAATGTTTCTACACATCAGAACAAATTCAAGAAGCTTTAGTTGTTCTGATGACTATAGTGTCCCTTTAAACTTAACCTGTCCAAACCAGACCTTGTCATTTTTCCTCCTTCAAGTGTTGCTACTCCTTTGTCTGTCTTCCTTCAAGTCAATGGCAGTACCATCAGCTCTACCTAGCAGGCTCACTGCCTAAGTGTTCTCATTGACTTCAACCTCTCCTTCACCATTTATGTCCAGCAACTCTCCAAATCCTGATGCTTCCATCTCAAAATTATAACTCACATCTGCCCATATCTAATGTCAGTTGTGGCTATGTGTCTGATCCATGACGCTGTCATCTCTCACCTTGATTACTGCATTTCGCTACTCAGTGGTCTTACAGTGAGAGAAAAAAGTATTTGATCCCCTGCTGATTTTGAACATTTGCTCACTGACAAAGAAATGATCAGTCTATAATTTTAATGGTAGGTGTATTTTAACAGTGAAAGACAGAATAACAAAAAAAAATCAGAAAAACGCATGTCAAAAAAGTTATAAAATGATTTTCATGTCAATGAGTTAAATAAGTAACCCCTTTGACTTAGTACTTGGTGGCAAAACCCTTGTTGGCCAGACATTTCATGTACCTGGCCACCGGGTTTGCACACATCTAAGGAGGGATTTTGTCCCACTCCTCTTTGCAGATTCTCTCCAAGTCAAAGTTTCGAGGCTGACTTGAACCTTCAGCTCCCTCCACAGATTTTCTATTTAATTAAGGTCTGGAGACTGGCTAGGCCACTCCAGTACCTTAATGTGCTTCTTCTTGAGCCTCTCCTCTGGTGTCCTTGGCTGTGTGTTTTGGGTCATTGTCATGCTGGAATACCCATCCACGACCCATTTTCAATGCACTGGCCGAGGAAAGGAGGTTCTCACCGAATATTTGACGGTACATGGCTCTGTTCATCCTCCCTTTGATGCGGTGCAGTTGTCCTGTCCCTAAAACATATTCTTTCTATCTCCATGTTTGAAGGTAGGGCTGGTGTTCTTGGGGTCATAGACAGCATTCCTCCTGCTCCAAACACGGCGAGTTAAGTTGATGCCAAAGAGCTTGATTTTGGTCTCATCTGACCACAACACTTCCACCCAGTTCTCCTTTGAATCATTCAGCTGTTCATTGGCAAACTTCAGATGGGCCTGTACATGTGCTTTCTTGAGCAGGGGGACCTTGTAGGGACTGCAGGATTTCAGTCCTTCACGGTGGAGAGTCTTACCAATTGTTGTCTTGGTGACTATAGTCCCAGCTGCCTTGAGATCATTAACAATATCCTCCAGTGTATTTTTTTGTGTTTCTTCCATTTGCGAATAATCGCACGAACTGTTGTCACTTTCTTACCAAGCTGCTTGGCAATGGTCTTGTAGCCCATTCCAGCCTTGTGTAGGTCTACAATCGGTCTTGGCCAATGGTCTTGGCCATCGTGGAGAGATTGGAATCTGATTGATTGATTGCTTGTGTGGATAGGTGTCTTTTATATAGGTAACAAGCTAAGATTAGGAGCACACTTTAAGAGAGTGCCAGAAATCTTGCTGATTGATAGGGGATCAAATACTTATTTCACTCATTGACATGCACATCAATTTATAACTTTTTTGACATGCATTTTTCAGGATTTTTTTTTTGGGGGGGGGGTTATTCTGTCTCTCACTGTTAAAATACACCATGGAAATTATAGACTGCTCATTTCTTTGTCAGTGGGCAAACGTTCAAAATCAGCAGGGGATCAAATACTTTCCCCCCCTCACTGTACATGTTCTCAGCTTGCCCTGTTACAGTCTTGTGCCACTCTACCCCACTGCCTCTAGAAAGTAAGCACATGTAAGTTTTTTTGAGCAGGACCCTCAATAACCTCTTGTCTGACCTACTTGTCTGTTTGTCCACCTATTGTACAGCGGTGGGATTTGTTGCTACTTTATTATTAATAATAATAATAATAATAATCACACTAGACTCCAATGAACTGCAGTCTTGCAGTTTATTAAAGGGACACTTTAATAAACACCAAATGCACTACATTAGTGGTTTTGATGCAAAGGCAAACATCAATGTTTATATTTGTAAGTCAGAAAGCCCATAGTGGTAACAATTATTTCATACAAATAATTGCAATAAGTGGGATATAATAATAATAACATAATATAGTTATATATTTCATGTTATACAGAAAGACAGCAGCCTAGAAATCTCTCTGTGCTAGTGGCCGGGGGACAAATGTCACCCTGGCACCTTTGCCAGCCTTCCCTGTACACATTTCAGATTACTAAAAGTACAAAATATATTTCTGAAAGTACAATAACATACATTTAAATTGCAAACATTGTCTATATGCTAAAATAATATGGCATACACTCAACATGTTCATATTTTCAATGGCAGTACATTCCATAGCAACTATTATAAATACTTGTTTAATGAAAGATTTCCTTTTTACATAACTGTATGATTCAAACATATAAGTAATATGCTCTATTTTAAGTTCATCCAAAGGTTTGACTTTTGTGTTTTACTTGATGAGTACTTGGTGCAACTTGACTATTAATGAGCTCTGACCCATCTACAAAGAGAAGTATATTTCCTTGTGGTATATATGCTCATTTGTGAACCATTCTCTTCATTGGGTCTCATTACAGTAAAAATAAAATAAAATCTGTGAATTTCTGTCAACATGCCAAGTCGTAGTCTCCATGCTGCTTATAACAAGATGAATAGTTGAAAGATATTTCTTTGCCTGAAAATGGATAATCACCATA